GACAGTATTTGTCAAACTTTTTCTTATTTTTTAAAGTACTTGTTAAACTATTGCATGAGAAGTAACTGTCCTTTTGCTCCAGTGACCTTATACATCTTGCAGTATTCACAATCTTATTGAGATCCAAATGAAATTCTCAGAGGTGCTGGCATGTCTGATGATTCCAAGTCACAGTCAGTTTTAGGCGAGAGAGAGGTACTTAGCTGTTAGGACTGAGGAAGCTTGGAGCAGGCACAGAAGCAGCGCTGTAGCTGGGAAGCAAGATCCTGCTGCTCAGGGCAGGCTGGCCTGCTACTTATGATTGGATAGATGATGTGCATCCTCTAAGCCAGACAAATGTGAATTTGCTTCAGTTCAGAAGCTGTGTAGCTGTGCTGTCTTGAGCTCAGCTTAAAGACATCCAGCCCTGTAGTGGAGTTTACTAAGATGGACTCTCTGTTCAGCTGCTTGGAGCGTGGACAGAGCATCTGTTAGGAATGCGGCAAGTTGCCCTATGGTTTGCTTTCCACTTTTGGATTTCAGCCTAAAGCAGTTGCCTAAAATGAATTATTTTGGAAGGTGCACTTGGTTTCAGACACAGTTTAAAAAAATCTGTGCCTTAATGTTTTCTTCTTAACACTTGTAAAACTTAATTTTTGTAAGATTTATAAATGGGGGAGTAACCCTCAGATAAGCAATCAACAAACTGGCTTGATGTATACTTTCATTCTAGGCTTGTGAATGCCCACTTTACTGGAAAGGTCCTTTGTTTTATTGTGCTGGAGGTGAACGAACAGGATATGTGTCAGTTCATAAATTTGTTGCAATGTGGAGGAAGTAAGTAGATTTTTTTAGAAGTACTGCATTTTTTAATTGAAATGTGATATTTTAAGCTCTGAATGAGATTCAGTCTGTAAAGGGGAATAAACCACTTTGCTGTCAATGGTTGATTATGGCAAACTTGTGCCTGGGAAAATGTAAATAAATCATCGCTTTAACATAAACAAACAAACAAATCTTTATTTACAGTGCTTATAGATTTTTAAAATACTTGGTAAATGACTGGTTGTTTACGGGAAAAGTGAAAACCATGGCCCTCACTTGTAGATGCCAGTTCTGGACAAAATGCTTTTTCTTCTTTCTAGTTCTCTTTCTAGTTCTTAGTTAAAAATGTCCTTTCATGTAATCAATTACGTGGTGTACCCACCTCCGTTAATGTAAATGTATGAGACAGTACTGCTTTGATAAGTTCACTTGGAGTGTACTTTGACATTGGTGATTAGCTTTTGAATTAAATGTTCTGGGCCGTGCTCTAAGGTGCCTGTACAAGGTAGCATGAACAATTTTCTGTGTAGAGTATTAAATGGAAATATTTATATTTCAGAATACTTCAGACCTGCTATGATGATGCTGCAAAGTTTGTTCATCTTCTAATGAACCCTGGATGCAACTACTTGGTGCAAGAAGACTTCATTCCTTTTTTACAAGTAAATTGCAACTGAAACTAGTTCTGGAAGCACAACAAAATGAGAGCTGGCAAAGCCTTGAATTTTTTAAGCTAAACATACTTTTTCATGGTCTTCATTAAAGTTGACTGATAATATTTAGTGTAACTCACTTTGTATGGTCCACTGAGATGCTAGTGAGTGACTTTTTTTACAGTTAAGATAACTAAGGTTATCCTAAGATAAGGATAAGATGAGGTCTTTTTTTAAGAGCTACAGTAAGATGCACCGATTAAAAATTGTTTGCAGGAATAGCATGTGTCAGAATATTTATGGTTTAGAAGGGCAGTTGAAGACTTAAGTCAAGGAGGCCCTTTGGGGGGCAAAGGAAAAGTAGTGCATGAATTCAAGACCTAATACAGTTTCTCTCAAAGATCAGCAAATGTGTACTAATGAATGAATAAAACCTAAATTGGCTTTTACTGAATCATAGTCACTGGATTACAAGCTACAATGGTTAGCAGTGTTCAAAATCTTCAGCCCGTCTAAAATATAGGAAAGCTTTTGTTTATCTGGCTTCTTTAGAAGGTAATTTTATGTTTAAAAATGTCGGCAGTGTTGTTTACCTGAAGCATGTTGTAAATGAAGTTATCGTTAATGATTGTGGTACTTTGAACCCTTAGTTTAAGGAAGCAGATGTGCTATTCTGTGCTAATTGTTTTATATAGTCACTAATGAATACTGTTTGGGATATTGTCATTCTTTTTGTGTAGGATGTGGTGAATAGTCATCCTGGTCTATCATTTTTAAAAGAAGCATCTGAATTTCATTCTCGGTACATTACCACAGTAAGTGATTTGTATTTGGAAAAGCTATTTTTTGTTATACTAAGTAGGAGAATCAAAATTAAGATTAGTCAATATGTCCCTTGAGAAAAGTTGAGTATGCTGTCAGTCTTCATTTCTACATAACTAGAAATCTTGTGAAGAAAGACTCAATTTCTTAAGCATCAGAATTTTTCTTAATGTTTGTAAGAAATTGCTGAACTTAATACTAGTAAGAGAAACACTGATTTGTAATAGTGTAGGATAAGTTAATAAACATTAAATGAAGAGCAGAGTGTTATCTTAAACACTTGAGTATGGCTATAGACTGTACTCATAAGAATCTTGACCTTACTCTGGGTTTAAGGGGAATTTTGAATGAAAGGTCTATAATGTGATTTATGTTCAGTATTAAGTAAAAATGATAATATTGAAGCTGCTTGCCATTTTCCTCTGTCAGAATTTTTCTTTCTAAGCAGGTTTTATACATGAAAAGTTCCATTTCTCTCTTCCTAGGGTCATGTGACAGAAGTATTCTTTCTGTACCCAAGGAAAAAAATCAGTGACACTACACTTTCTCAACTGTGGACTAGACAACCAATTCCACTGAAGTGTCAAAAGATTAAAATTCTTGAAAATGATATTCGGTTCACTTTCTTTGTGCATGTGAAAAATAACTTAATGAATATTCTCCAACAAAACACATGCAGAGTTGATCATCTTTTATCCAGCTTATAGTATGACCCAGACCAAAACTGTGGAAGCTTTTTTAAAAGCATTTGGGTTTGGTTCCTCATATTTCTTAGAGTGCCAGCCTATCTAGTATGTCCTGCTGCATTAGATTTTCCTTCTTGCTGTAATGATTACATGAGCTCCCAGAACTTTGTCAGATGTGACTGAAGGAAATGTTCTGCCTGTGAGTAGTTTCTTAATTGATTCTGGGTTGTATCAAAGCCTGCTCTGCTTAAAACTGTGAAAGCTGTCCTGAAGGGCTGTAGGAGGGAAAAGTTCCTGCCATTTGCAGTTACTTTGGAGGAACAGCTTATTTGAGTAGGCCTGAGTCTGGCAATAATGAATAAATTAGTCCTAGTAGTACTTTACTAACAAAACTTAGTGTAGTCTTCAACAGAAATCACTGTTTAATCAAAAATTCCCAAAGTAAACCAGTATTGCTATCAATATAGCAACAATATTTGGAATATTGTTCTGCAGATCAAGAAATGGCAGGAGGACTTTCTGCCCCTTCTTGTCTTATTTTAAGATGGAGTAACTGTTGCCCAGTATACTCTTCTGAAATTCTGTCCTGCAAGTTATTGCTAATAATAGTAGATTATTTTCTCTGAGATGAAATAAGGCATTTCGTACCTTAGCTTTACTTTGCTACGTGAAGCTTTATCTAAAGGATTTTAAGCATTGCAGTTAAGATTTAAAGTCTGTTCATGCTAACTTCCAGTTACAAGTTAAGTGATCCATTTTTCTGATGTGTTTGTATATACATGCATATATATGTGTGTGTGTGTGCATACATACATTACATACATCACTTTAGTGAAGCAGGTGTCTTGAGTGTCATTCAATCATGGAAGCAATTGGTTCTGTCGGGCTGTAGTACATGTTCAATCACGGAAGCAATTGGTTCTGTCGGGCTGTAGTACAGGTTGGTTGGGTTAGTCCAGGGGTAAGGTTAGGTACATATGTTCAAGGTAAAGCTGAAATATGTAAAAAACATTTGCCCTTACAAATGAGAGATATACATAACATACTTGCAGATTAAATGTAGTATCTGAACTAGGAATTCTTGAAACTCTAATCTCTATATTTGACTATTTCCTCTCCTGACAAACCACTGTGCAGCATAGTAAGGAAGACAATTCTCTGACAATCTGAAATATATAAAAAACATTTGCCCTTACAAATGAGATATACATAACATACTTGCAGATTAAATGTAGTATCTGAACTAGGAATTCTTGAAACTCTAATCTCTATATTTGACTATTTCCTCTCTTCTGACAAACCACTGTGCAGCATAGTAAGGAAGACAATTCTCTGACAATTTGCTTATGCTCTGCTTTGATTCACTTTAGAAAACTGTTTCTTAAGCCTGTTCCCAGTTGTCTTTAGCAAACATTCAATTTTGTTTTTATTTTTAGACCAGTTAAATGTATAACAGATGAGATAATGACATGCAGATGGATTGAGTTGCAAAGCTAAGGCAAAACCTTTTTAGAAAAAATTGCTTTGTAGTATAAGCCAAAAATGGGCCTTCCCTAAACTCGCAATTAGAATTGAGCTAATTAGGTTTCAGAAGTAGGCTAGTCTATTCTCCTTTCTGGTTTTATTGAACCAGCTGGTTTTATTCAAAGAGCTGCAGAGCTTGCTGCATGCTACAGTTTAAGCTTTAGTTTAAAACTTTATGAATAAATTACTCTTCTATTTGTAATTTAGAAATTATTGGTTTAAACTATCGATTTAATGCAATTAAAGTCTGAAGTGATAAAAACTTTAAGTCTTTAGTTTGGAAGAGATTTTGTTTGTTGGAAAAGAGATTATTTTTTTTCCAGCTAGTTACTACTGTGTTGCAAATGAAAAGTTAAATGTGCAATATTTAGTCTTGCTGATTAGCAGGTATAATCAATCTCCAGTTAAGCAGAGTTCATAATATGTTTAGATTTTTTGTCTGCTTGAAATGTATATCTGATTGACTGAAATCAAATTGAGGTGAATACTGAATTCAGTGAAGAAACAGAAAAAACACATTTTAAAGTCTTATGATTGTAAACTAAAACTAAGCAAATTATGCTGAGTGCATGGGTTTACCAAAATAATGTACATATGAAAATGATTTAAACAAAAGTATTGGATACTTGGCTGAATAAATTTTTCTGATTCTGATATCAGTCGTGGCACAAGAACTAGTCATATTTCTTGCATAGATTTTTGTTTTTGTTCTTCGGTTAGAAAACATTTATAAACTTCTTTTAATACTAGAGATAAGTTTGTGGGGGTTTAAGTAGCTTTAAATAGAATAAAATTAAATGGTGGGAAAAAACTACTCTCTCTACCCGCAGGAAGTATTTCTGTCAAATGTTGGTTTGTTGTATTTGCAGACTTTAGAAGTAGCAGCATTCCCCTGTACTGTGATCCTTTAACAGTCCCCATTCTATTTCTGTAATTTAATTTATGAACTAAAGTATTGTTGTAGTAAATATAGGTCTTAAAATCTGAAGTAATGAGATTTTAATAGGTTCATTGGATGATATCCTGTAGATATGTAAGACTGAGAGGTAGTGAAATTGTCAATAGACATATTCTGGGTAGCATACAAGTATTCTGCAACTTTACTGTAGGAGAGATGGGTACTGCAGCATTGAAATAAGACTTATCGAAGTGAGCTTAGGTGTAGATTTCAAAATGGTTTGGTAATATGACGTAGGAGAGAAGTATCAACCTGCTAAGCAATGAGAAGAATAGAAATAGGGGACAGATAGAGTTCTGTAATGCAGCTGAACTAAGACTTATGTTTGACAGATGTTTGGGAGGTTATTTAGTTAGCATACCTAAGATCACCTTTCCATTTTTTTTCTTGCAGGTTATACAGAGAATATTTTATACAGTAAATAGGTCCTGGTCTGGGAAAATAACTTGTAACGAGCTCAGGAAGAGCAACTTTTTGCAGGTATATAATAACTAAAATCTTGCAAGACAGATTTTTCTACAAGTTTAAAAACTGCGTTAACAACATGCTTAAGGGAATAAAATAAGTAGGATTTCTTCTTTCTCCAAAAACCAGTGAAGACTCAATTGCATTCATTCTCGTACACTAGAATATGCTTAAATGTCATCTTTTATCTAGAGCTGTATAAATATTGATGTGATTAGCAGAAGTCTGGCTGATCTCATTCTTCTATGGACACGTTAGTGTTTTATTTTGTGTGTTCAGTCTTTGCTGTCATGCTGCATGGTGTGCACTGCCTCTGAAGATAAAAATTGTTCCACTGAAATAGCATTAGACATTAACTTGGTTATGACAACTCAGATAATTCAACATATGTCTTACAAATTCTTTAATGTGTTCTATTTATCCTTCTGATAATAGAATGTGGCATTATTGGAAGAGGAAGCTGATATTAACCAGCTGACAGAGTACTTCTCATATGAACATTTTTATGTTATCTATTGCAAATTTTGGGAGCTGGATACAGACCATGACCTCTATATTGATCGGAAGGATTTAGCTCGACATAATGATCATGGTATGACAAATGAAGCACCTTTGTTTACATGTATTAAATGACCCATAAACTTTCAACTGAGGAAGTGGTTAACTGCGAAGGCCAATGTTCATGAGTCTGTTGGTATAGCTGATTCTGCTGACTCAGTGAAATAAAGCAGGACAAGTCATCTATGATGCTGCTTTGTGTCTAGCAATACCAAATTCGAGGAAAACTCTGAATTTGAATTCTGATCTTGGCAAAGAAGCAACGGAGAGTATAAATTTGTAAGTGTGTAGGCTTGATCTAAAAAATCATTTAAGTCTTGCTATATTATAAATGGCTGCATTTGCCAGGTTTGGGTCATTACCTTAGAAGTAATCCATTTTACTGGTATTATTCAAGTAGCATGGCTCTCTTGGCAAGGTATGGAAAGAGTAGAAAAAGGCAAACATACATTCAGGTACTTTGCTTATTTTAAAGTTTTGTTAATTCAGCTGCAGTACATCTTGTTTCAATGCTATTTAGAGGCTATACTCTTTCTGCATTCACATTATACAACAACTGTGATTCTGTAGTCTTGCACATTCTTAGCTCTTTTAAATGTTCTTGTAGCTTGTATGGAACTGTTGGGGTTTTTTTTGGATGCTTTGTGTCCATTGTCACCTTAAAAGTATTCCCTTCAGGACTGGAAAGCTTACTTAAGCACAAAGTGATTGTGGAATTTATCCCACATTAAAAAGCATAAACACAATTCTGATTGCTTCTGAAAATTTGCCTACTGAAGTCTGACTACACTTTAGGACCCTGAGGAAGGAAAGCTTCTTTCATTTGAGAGGTTGCTGTACTGAGTTAGTACACTATAGAAAAGGAAGCAGAACTGATAAGTGTCACTTGCAATTTAGTTTTGCATCCTTTAAACCATGGCATATTGGTTAAAGCTTAACAGCTGCTGCTTAATGAGAACTAGACTAAGAAAGAGCATAAAATGAATATGATAACCCTACTTTAGTCTTAAACTTTTTTTTTTGCATGTCAAAATTAGGTACTCTGGTTTCATCAGTCCCTTCCTTTTGTACTGCCACTGGTCTAAAATTAGGCTAGATTAAACACTTAAATGTAGTAAGAAAAAGAGTAAAGTATGTAGCTGTTGTTGAGAAGGTTGAACAACTTCAGTGTTTCAAAAGTAAATAAGAAGCAGCATTGCATATCTGAAACCAATTGGCTATCCTACAGTTCTGGGAATAAATACGAAGTAGGGACCGGTGTCCTTACTAGAATAATACAGTGACAGCATCGCCATAAGTACATAAATCAGATGAACTGTTTGAATGGTTAACCACCTGCTTTATTTATCAGTATTTCTGCAATGCTGAAAAAATTTCAGAGCTAGAATAATGAGAAGTAATTCTCCTTCTGTGAGAATATTATCATGTGCTGCTTTGAGTAACATCCACAAATTCTTCAGGGTAAATTGCATATCCGTTACAGAGGTAGTGCTCAGTTAAGACATGTCTCTCAAATCCCTGAAATGGTTTCAAAATAGAAGCATGGATCAGAACTGTGTCAGAAATAAACCCATGTCAGAATCAGTTAGGTATGTTCATTATGTATTAATGTGCCAATTCTGTTTTGGCTCTTTGCCAAAACCAAGGTCATATAAAATGCAATGGCACTTGAAAACATGATTTATTTGTCAAAGAACTGGTAAATAATGTCTTATTAATCAGCTAATTTTATCACTTTTATTAGACTACTATTTCTGCATCAAATCTGAATTCAAAGCTGGTTGGTTCTAGCTTTGCTTTGGAGACTTTGTGTTAAGTGATCCTCTCCAAGAGGACTCAAAGGGATTAACGAGCACTACACTTGATCTTTCTCACAGTTTATATGTATAAGAGGTTTCCAGTAAACTCTTCAACTAGACAATACAATGCAAAGCAAAAATAACTTGTATACAACTGATACTATTTTAACCCTTTTTTCACAGCAATTTCAAATAGGATGATAGAGCGGATCTTCTCAGGAGCAGTTACAAGGTACTTATTTTGCATACTGATCTAAATCCAATTTAATATTTGCTTGTTAAATTGTGCAATGTTTCCAGAAAAAAGTAACAGTGAATTTCAAGATTTAGTATTGTAGTTTAAACTCTAGTAGTACTAGAGTGCTCTTGGAACCTTTGGCTCAGTCCAAGCTCTTTACTCTCCTTTGTTTACTCATATAAAGACTTGCCATTGGAGATTGTATGGTTTAACAGGGATGGGAATGAGGAAGGGAAGAAACGTTGGCACTGCTGTTTTCCCATCCCTCAAACCTGTAAAATTTTCAAAGGGAATTCAGCTTTTCAGTACTACTTGTAAAATCAATGCTTATTGCATCAACAGATTTACAAAGATGCCTCCAGTTGAGTTCATTCACATTTTTAACAGTCATTCTTCGTTGTTCCCACTTGGATTGACTTCCTTTTGTGTATTTATGGCACTTTACTGATTTTTGAAACATTTTGCTAGCACAATATCTGCAGCTAGAAAACAACTGACAAACAGAAATAGCAAAAGCTGAAATCAGTGAAATGACACTTGGCAGGCATATGTCTAGAGCTTATTCCTTTATGTGAGTGTTTTGGGCAAGACACCATATTTTTCTAGACATCTTGAGGATAAAACAGCAAAAAAATGATTTTAGGAATGAAAGGTAATATGTCCAGGAACTGCCTACCTGACTTTTTACTAGAAATGTTGACCATGTGTCTTCAGAATGTATTTGGATGCTGTGTTCTGTTGTATGAGAGTAGAAACAGGCAATTGTGTTCTTGCCATGAACACTTCCTGAATGTTTTTATTTCATTTTTATCTTCATATTTCTATTCCAACACTTTTAGCTAGTGGAGTTCTGTACAACTTTTAAGTTCTCATCACTTCTACCTGAATAGAAATTCTAAAAAGCATGTGTATTTGATGTAATTTTTTTTAATGAATTGAGATATCTCTTTTGTTAACAATTAAGCAGCAGTATTGCTGCCCAGGAAGGAAAGCTGTAACTCCTTCTGCACAGGAGACCACCCTCCTTTTCCAGCTGCTACCTTCCTCTTTAAATACCCATTGCAGTAGAAACAGAACAGCACACAAGTTCTTGTCTGTGACAAGTCACCTTAGGAACACTGCATCTTTTAGGAGATAAACAGTTAATAGCACTAAGGAAAATAATCCTTAATTTTGGTTAGTAAAAGCTAGGTGTTTTAAAAGAAATTTCTATCTTTTCCCTCATGGGCCTTCAAGAGGTAGAAAAGCACAAAAAGATGGAAAAATTAGCTATGCTGATTTTGTCTGGTTTTTGATATCTGAAGAGGACAAGAAGACACCAACTAGGTAAGAATGAATTTATATTTTAACAGAAATAAAGACTGACTTTATTGGTTTTCGAGTCTTTAGGGGCTGCTGATGCTCAGCTGGAACTGTGCTGGAAGAAACTAAATGATAAAAACATGAGTGGAAAACCAGCCCAGCTCGTTGCATCATTCTTATTTATCAGTGTCTTCTATTGTCGCTGCTGTAAAACTTTTCAGAGTTAATCAAATATCATTGTTCCATATGCTGTGTGTGGCCTGCTTACAGGGTCATAGATAAGGGAAATTACAGTCGTTTCATGATGCCAGTGACTTTGGGAAACCATACAGCTAGCAGTAGCTGTAGGGTATTGATAAGAAACCTATTGTGTGGTATGTCACTGGCTTGTTCAATATGAAAAAAATAACTTGGGTTTTGATACACAATTCAATTTTTCATTGGCTCCCTTGAGCTTTTATGTAAAGCCACGTGTATTAGTTCTCTCTTCCCTCCCTCACAATTAACAAGTATGATTTCAAATGCAATGATGTATGGCATGGCAAATACCAGAAACTGTTACCACAATAGGTGGTGGTTAAAGACTTTGTATGGCATTATGGAATGCAGTCTCAAGTCTAGTTTTGCATCTGTAAGTAGCATAGCCTTTAAAACAGGCAACATAAATTCCTGAAATCCTGTATTAAGGCTGTGTAAACAGTTCTTTGCTATTAATTACCAAATTTCAGCATTGAATACTGGTTTCGCTGCATGGATCTCGATGGGGATGGTGCTTTGTCTATGTATGAATTGGAGTATTTTTATGAAGAACAGTGCCAAAAATTAGATAACATGGCCATAGAACCTTTGCCTTTTGAAGACTGTTTGTGCCAGATGCTGGATCTTGTGAAGCCACAATATGAAGGTAATAAAATCTTTTTCTATCTGTAATTTCTGTTTCTTTGGATTAGGAGTTAGTGCACCCTTAAGAGCACTCAGTTGGTCATACAAAGAATATGCATTTAGGTTGTCTCAAAAGTCTGTTAGAGCTTATTAATCAAATGGTCTTCCAAGGGCAGGCATTCATTTTCATACTAAAATTTAATATGCTACTTTAAACTTCCTTGTAGGTTTTTGGTTTGGGCTTGCAGCCATGTTTAGTGTTAAACGAAATTTTGTCACTATCTGGCTGAGGCGATGCTCTCCAGAAAAGCTCTTGACTGTTCTGTTCACTTGCCTCTTACCTGTTCCAGTACTCATTTAATTGACACTTCTTTAGAGGGGACAGTTTCTAAACAGTGTGTGTCTCTGTAGATCAGTAATTACTTATTTTAGGTTAGAAGTCTATGCTGTCCTTCGGAAATTCATGGCAAGGGGCTTTAAAATAACAGAATATTAAACTGTTCTTAGTTTTTGGCTATTTTATACATTCATTTGAACCTTCATAGACCTGCATCCTGCCTTCCTGCATTTGACTTATATGATCTTTAGCTGATGAAACTTGAGTTTACATTTTACATCTGAAAACAACTCATCAAGTGAGGATGATGTTCACTTCATGTTTGCCCTTCTGTGCTGCTCAATACTAGAAATATTTTTGCATGCCTTAGTAAACGTATTACTGTGGTGTGGAAGAGTGGTAGCTTGCATGTTCACGGCCTCTACTTTTGTGCCGTTTCTGGTGTTTGTCTCACAAGTTGATTAAAACTGTTGTATCCATGGTACACTAGTCTTCAGGGATTTGTTGAACTCAATGCAATGAAGGTCAACCTGTATCTAAACTTAATGTCTCAGTAGCTGACCACAGTTAGCGCTAATAAGAGTTATTATGGCTATACTTTTTAACGTGAATTTCAGTGTGTAAAAGGACTTGGCCTACAGTCTGGTTGCTATTATTGTACAGACTTTGCATTACAAGAAACTTAGAACTTGCTTATTGGCTCTTGAAGTGTTTGTTAGGAATAGCAACCTCTATTGCATATGCTAATGTTTGCTATTTTTATGGTAAAAGAAAGTTGTTGACCATCCTATTTAATGCTTTTGTTTAGCAAATGTGATGTTGTGCTAGTATTTCATGTTCAGACACTTCTAGAATTTCAAGTGTCACTTTAGTTGTGTGTGTAAGATGGTGGCTCTTTTTACTGTCTGTAAAATTGTTAGAGAATCAATAAATAGTCTTGCTTATTGCCCACCTTCTAGTAATAAGAATATTTAAATTATAAGAAACTTTATTTTTAAAAGGTAGTTGTCTTTTTTGAGACATGATTTTTTTTTTTGCATGCTATGGAAATTGAAATAGCTCAAAACCAGAATTCAAAGCTTCATATTCATATTTAAACCAAGTTAATATGAATTTTCTGGTGAAAACACATTTCTAATGGTAAATAAAAAAAAATTGTAAATGAAAAAGTGTTAAGTATGTTTTAGCTGGAAGCTCAATCCTAGATATCACTGGAATGAGGTGTTAGACCAACATGTGGGGAGCATTTAAGATGAGGTGAAATAAGCTCCAAGGAAAGCATTTATGTTACATAGCCGCCTACGATAGCCTCCCAAACTTAGGGGTTCCCTTCCAGTCTTGTACACTATACTTCTGAAAGGCAGACATTTTCAATGTTTCTGTTCTGCATTTTAAATGAAACAAGATTGATGTATCTGTTCTATATCATGAAGATGATAAAAGGAGGCTGTGGAACACAACCAAGACAAAAGTTATTTAGGGCAATGAAAATGAAAGCCAATTGTGAAGGGTTGATGGGGGGTTTTTTTTATAAAAACTGAGTGACATTTGAAAGATGGATTAAGATCAAACTTTTTCTGTCATTTTCCTATACAAAAAAACTAGTGGCATAAAATGACATTTCACTTGGTAGATTTGAAACAAAAGAAGGCACTGTCATTCACTTCTGGCTACATTGTGATACAATTTGCTACTGGATGCTCTGTGTACCAAAAAGCAAAGTCTTTAATTTGTGGAGACCTGAATTTAGTTATTGCGATTTCATTCTTTTTTTTGTTGGTCTTTCAGAGACAACATAGGCATCCACATAAGTGTTAGGTGTCTAAGCTCCTGTTGCAATAAATGGAAACCGGAGAGCAAATCAACGAACCAAATATAGGTGTCTAACTTAAATTGGGAGCTTATATAACTAGGACTCAAATCAGTTGCTTGGTTGTGGAGAGCTGCTGCCACTTGAGATGGCCCAATGCATCAGACATCTGTGTGGGTCTGACAGATATGACACAGGTGCCACGAGGGATTTGTGTCGTTCTGGAGCATCAGCTGTAAACCAGGCAGAATACACAAAGGTACTTCAGATGGCGACAGACAACAACTGTGGCAACCATTTCCACATGGTTACTTATTTTGCTTCCCTCTGATGTCCTTGAGTTACACGTTGTTAGAGGCTGGGACAGTATGCTGAGGAAATACTGTTCTGAGTCTGGCTCTTCTTGAACTCTTCTGTAGCATCTGCAGTTAGCTCCTCTTTGATTGACAACAGAAGATTGGCCAGATTTAAGGTGAATCAATAAAAGGGAGTTTTCTTGTATATCTGGTATTTTTCAGTCTTTCTGCCGAAGCTTAATGTTCAGCTTTGAAATAAGGTAACATTTCTGACAATCTGACAAATCCTTCTAATTGTTAAGGAATCCATTGATTTGTCTTTAAAGTGTAACTTTATATAAACAAACAAACAAAACACCTCTGAGCATTTAGCTTTCCTCTCAAGCAGTAAATATTGATCAGGCTGGACAAGTGTGGCAAACCAGTCTCTATGAAAAATTCCTGTGTGTGAAGCATAGTCACACACTGTCATCTGTCATACTTTTTTTTTCTTTTCAAGTCAGGGAAGAAAAAGGGCTACTGCTAGAGGAGATTTCTACCTGCCACCCAAGCACTTCTTGGGGAGGAATGGCTGGCTTGCTGGTGACTTCTGTCTCTTAAGGAAGCTTAGGCAATTAGCTTAAATGACTTTGAATAGCTAATTGAGGCAGGCTGCATCTCACTCCAACATTTTGAAGGACAGTAGGATGACAGCTAAAGCAAGTAACAGATCTGAAACACTTAAAAGTTTTGTCAACTTTGAAGGACGCTTCTTTAGGTGTGTATTTCATCTACTCCTCTCCCATTGTGCTGAGCATCAGTGACAAATGTTCTTGAGCATAATGATGACTTAACTTTTTAATAACATTCCTCTTTTTTGGAGAAAGGATAATTTCAGCTCTAAATATCTTTCAATCTTCTTTACAGGAAAAATTACTCTGCATGATTTAAAGCGATGTAAGCTGACAAATGTGTTTTTTGATACTTTTTTCAACATTGAAAAATACCTTGACCATGAACAGAAGGATCAGTTTTCTATGTTGCGGGTGAGTATGAAGCTTTCAAAGCCTTTTTAGCGATGTGCTTAACAATTAATATGTTTTTGTATAACTTGCCATGTGATTGTTTAGGATGGCGAAGGTGACAGCCAAGAGGTCTCTGACTGGGAGAAGTATGCTGCTGAAGAGTATGATATCTTGGTAGCAGAAGAGGCAGCAAGTGACCAGTGGAATGACGGGTAAGAATGTACCAGGAGACTTGGTACGAATCCTCTCTATAGAGCCTCACCATCACTGTCATCCCTGATGCTATTTTTGTACAACGTTGCTGTTTATCACCTTTAGCCATGTGCTCAAGTGAGGGAGGAAGAACCTTGTTTGTATCTCAAATTAGATACTCCTTGACAGTTTGTGATTGCATTGGTTTTGTCAAAGAAAAGGTCCTACTTCGAATTTTAGCAGGACAGAAGATTTGAAAAGCTTCAACTCAACACAAAACACAACATTTAATTTTTTTAGCTTGTTGAATGAATGAAGAGCTTCATTGAGGGCTTTTGGGGGGAAGAATTCTCATTTCTGAACTCAGTTATATCAGCTTAGAAGTATTTTCTCACAGTTCTCTAAGAGGAAATAAGATAATAAATCTTGCTGTTTTGAAAGCACTCCTTTACTTTTGCTATGTCGCTTCCAGAACCTCTCAGAATCCAAAGTCCTGAATCTGCTGTTCATTGTTTTTGTTATTTAAGTTTGTACTTGTTTTCCCTATCTTTTTAATTTGTTTTAGGCCTTAAGTTAGTGGACCAACCTAGAGAAAACACATTTTCCTGTATTTCCTACATCAATATTCTGTTTTTAGATGTGTCTGATTCTTGCCAAGCGTTTAGAGAATGACTAGCTTGGTATTTAAGAGACTGCTTTAAAACCTGAGAAAGCAAAATCCTCTTAACATGGATTTCAGAAAACTCTGTAACAGAAGGAGGGGAGTGAGAGAGTTGCTATCACCCAGCACTTCAGCATTAAGGGGGATCATACTCTTAACTCTTCATGGAATCTTCCACTAGAATTGGTTAATATTACAGAATTAACAAGCCAAAAAGTAACTGAAGCTTTGTTGTGCTGTGAGTTAGGCAATATTAAACCTTCAGTGTTTATCTCACTTGATCTCTTAAGGTCATAGGCTTAGTTTGGGGAAGGTACAGAATAGGTATGTACACTTCTGACAATTGTTTGAGACATTGTGATGCCAAGTGTAATAGCTTAAATTTGATGGATCAGAGGAAACAGCCATTTCTGTGGTCTTGCTGGCTGTGAAGTGTTACTTATTTATAACTCAGCTGACAAAACTAGTGGGCTTCTTAAACCAATGAAGGATTCAGATTTTCGGTCCTTGGTTTTAGAATGCCCTTATAAAATTAGCATGTTTAAACCATTAGGAGTCATTTTTTTTTAAGTTACTGGTGGACTTAGGCCACTCCTGACAGGATCAGACCAGCCTCCGCAGTGTCTGCCATCATCTCAGTGCCTGTCAGAGGGGCCCCCTCAATACACCATGGTGAATCAGTGCATCACCCAGTCAACCTGAGAGCCCAGGCTTGACAGGAATGAATAATAGCATTTAGGAGACTTGAGGTGCTGTTAAATCTGAACATCTTAAATCTTAACTGGAACCATTTCCTCAAATGTTTTATACCTTTGCTGGTTTAGCCTTATTTTCTCTCTCTTCTGCCAGATTTCTGTTGCAGTAGTTGTGTGGGGTTTTTTGATGATTTTTTTTGACTCAAATTGTCTCAAGCTCACCTGAGAGTTGATAGTTAAATGCAGATTTCCTGGATTCCATTAAGATCCTATTATTCTGTCTTACAGCTTTTAAAGCCTCGTATAGCTTTGCAGTGGCATACCCTGAGAAACTAGGGGTCTTGTCAGTTAAGACATACTGAAGGTTCAGAAGTTTACTACGTGGTCTGTAAAAGCTGATCCTTAGCTAGGTTGTCAAGGAAGGATTTCAGCTGGTCCTTCAGCGTTCTGTCCTGGGACCACATGCAGTATCATCTGCCTCCGATGAGTTTGTGGCCAAGTGTCCCTTTGTCACTAGCAGTAAGGGACCTGCATGGGAGGAAGTCAGGTTACTCTGCATCTCTGATTAAGGGTTTGAAATTGCTGGGCGGTTGTAGACAAGTGTAATTTTGTAAAGTTCTAAGATAAAGTTTAGGTACAACTTCACCCACAAGTGTGGACAGGAGATCAAGTAAGAGTCTCAAGGTGCTTTGATTCTGGTTCAGTTATGAGCTCATTGACTGCAGCTGTTTCTCTGAGCTAAGAGCATGTCTGTGATTGTTTAGACTAAAGGATTTTATTTTTATGTATTCCCCCCCTAAGATGTCTCTTCTTGTGAAGATAAAAGCCACAAAATTTGCAGCCAGTATTCTAGGGTTGAATTGTTTCTATTATTTAAAACAAAAAAAAAAAAATTCATGGTGTACCTAAAAGCATGGGTCTATGGCTTTACACAGAAAATGGACAAAATAAACTAAAATACAAAATGTTTCTCAAGTAAAACTTTCAGATTATATTAAATTCCATAAACTTTAACTCTTCAGTAACTTCTGACAGGTCTTGGACACTTAGTTTTTTCAGGTACTTCCATGAAGTTTGTTCTCTCCGCAGCATAGGCACAAGCTTCTTTATATGCCCATGCAGTTACAGCTTAAGCAATACAGAGAATGTTGTGGAACCTAGGGTATGTAAAGCAGTATCCTAATAACCTTAAAACTTGAAAAAATGCACCTTCACTATGTAAATACAGTCCTTAAGGAAAACTAGTGTGGTGGTGTAAGAATAATGTAGTGGAGTAGGCTGGGATATGAAGGAGATGTATGATGCCAAACCACCCAGTTTCTCATTACTTTTAAACCAGGTGTTTGTAAACACAAGTGATTCATTGGTTGTAGGTTGTCTCTGCTTCTGGCATTAGCAGATTTGTCACAGATCTTGTAGAAAAAAAAAAAAACCTGACAGAGACAAATATTTATCCTATGGAAGCACAGCCCAAAAAAAATCACACATTTTATTACTTTCTGTATCCCTAGTTGGGTTTGATGCATAGGCCATAGCTGCTGGCCCTCCACACAAATGGATAAAAGCTTTTATCCAAGTGTTCCTGAAGTTTTGCTGCTTCGTTTCCTTGGAGTATAGATTGTAATGCTCACTGACAAATTATGAAGTGGTTGTTAATGGAGACAAAGTGTTTCAAGTATCATACACACAACCATATGTAAGATGTGCTTTGGATTGACTGCATAGAAACAAGTGTTATGCTTCATCTTACTGATTTCTGCCTACCCTTATGTCAGAAGCTTGTGAAGACTGTTGCATTTAAACAGCCAAATTAAGATTCTTTTTTTTAATAGAGAGCAAAGTTAGGATACCTTCCAAATTGTTTGTCAAATAAGCAACTGAATCCAAGTTGTGGGCAAAGAGATTAAAATCTAAAGAGAAGAAAAAGTACTCTGATCTGACTGAGGGAGTCATTGTCAAATCTGACTTAAAGTTTGAGTGCTTTCTAACAGTGAAGGTCAGCAAAAGTGTCTTCAAAACTTAATACTGAAGTAGGACTCTGAATCTTATTTTTTCCCTATAATTGTCCTGAAAAATGAAGCTTATTTTCTGTTGCTGAAGCTGAGAGAAACACAAGACTACTAAAAGTTTCCTTGGTGCTGTTAGGAGAGTTTAATGAACAAAAACACTACCTAAAAATGCTCATAACTTTAGTGTTGTAGAAAAACTTCTTCCTTAAAATCACCTGTCGAAAGGGTTGTAATGCCTGAACTGAGATGACTGTTTGACAATCCAGTATGATTTTTTTATTTGATTACTTCTATAGTACATATTTTCCTGATGTTCCTATTAAAACAGTTGATATGAAACTTGGGAGTGGTATACAGAAATCTTGAAATAGGCTGATTTCTTCATATTTACATGAGCTTTACAAATGGGGGGGGGGAAGTAGTTTTTAGAGGTGTTGTAGCTGTATGGTTATATTCTTATAAAAACCTCTGTGCTGGGAAGTAGCAATAGATTTTTCTAATAATGTGAGAAGTAACTCAAGTAATTTTAGTGCCTAGATGTGAAAACTGGGACAGCATTTCTAAATTTCCTTAACTTAAATATCTTGGAAAGGAATAAAAATGATAGATATTCCATGAGGCCACCAGAGCTTTGGAAGAGGTGGGATTTTCATTTGGTCCCATAATGTTTGAATAACACTTTTCCAAGTACGGGATGGATGGAACCTACAAAGAGTATCTGAGAGATCCTCATGCTGCCATTTTAATGACAGGAAAAGCTGCTGTTGCCTCTCTGTATCACTATGCAATAAACAAATCCAAAAGGTGCGTTCAAGATATTTCTCTTTAAAAGAGAAAAAAATAATCTTTGTCAAAAAGATGGAATTAGTGGTATAGAAGACTATAAATAACAGGTTTGTGAACCCAAACTGCTGTTATGGTAGAATATGCATCTTTCTTCCAAATCCTTGTTTTCAAATGTGTAACTTAGTAAAGTAACTCTTAGGATGACTTTTGTTTCCTGTTCAAATCAGTGGTGAACTTCTGGCAGAAACCCAGGGTGTTCTGTTCACTGACTGATGCTCACACAATTCAGGCCTTAATACCCCTGGGAAGAATGAAATAACAAAAAGGAAAGAAAATCAGGAATTCTTTTTACTCAGTGCTTAATCTTTACCTGATGTTATCAAAGCATCTTTATTTTGCTAGATTTCTTTTACTCAAAATGGCAGTGAAGCTGGCTTAATATGTTTAGGAAGTTTATCTATGAAGTGTTTCAACAGAATTGTATTCACTGTTGATAAATGTTGTTGTTCTTCCTATCTCTGCTGTTAATGCTGCTCTGTATTAGTGTTCACAGTGGATTCTTACTATTTAACTCTTCTTTGCCCTATGCCGTTCTCTGAAAGAGTACTTCTAATCGCCACGTACTGCCATGACAGAGTCACACTTAAGAACAGATACCACAGTTTGTAAAGCTCGTGCTTTGCCTAGTCTTGTTATAGAGGCGGAAATGATCCTGTGCGGAGATGAGATGCAGCATGAGAGATGATGTGCATGAACCTGAGTCAGCCTAGCCCAGGAAGTGGTCAGTTCTTTAATCTGACATCATAAATCTCTAAAGATTTCTGCTTAGTTTTTTCAAATGGCTATCAATTACAGATTTGATCCCACCTGATCAGTGCTGAAGCAGATCTCTTAAATATCAGCCTTCACTGACTTGAGTTAGTTAAATGTTACATTTCATTATCCATCTGTTCGTTTTCATCAGCAGCAGGATGTTATCAGTAATTTCTCATTAAACAATTGGCTTTAGCTTTCTAGCATCTGCTTTAAATACACAGTTGGTGGCCATCACTTCCCTGTGCTCATGTGCATTTTAATAACACTTTCAGTATTTGTTCTCTTTTGTTGTAGCTACTGCAGGTGTAGTTTGTTCTACCTAATTCAGCATAATTTCAGCTTTCTTGAAAAGAACAGGAAGGGTTTCTTGCCAAGCACTGAAGTCTTGCATTTGACCATTTCTAATTTAGGAGTTCTCCACTAGAGTAGTGCGTGCTTTGAGTCCTTTCAGTAAAGCTGTGTATCTAAGTTTTGCACATGATGGGAGAGTAAGCTAGCTTAAATTTAAGTCATTATGACAGAAACCTAGTGCTGCTTCTGGCTATGAGTTTTTTAATATAAAATACTGGAAATCAGGCTCTTTCTGCAGGAGTCTTGTCAGTGTTCTAACACTTGGGCGCTTCCCAATGTAGCTGGACTTTCATTTTCTTTTTTTGTTTGGGTTTTTTTTGGCCCATTCCTAGGTATGAAGCAGAACTGAATCCTGTAGACCATCAGAAGGCCAATGTCCTAAAGTATCAAATGGAGAGAAGACCATTTTTTGAAATGCCTTCCCATCTGGCTGATGTAGACTTGGATGAATATGACTATGAAGAGGACTTTGAGTAGTGGTTACTTCTGGTCAGTGCTTGCAGAAGAGAATGGACAGTCTGCAGCAGGTCTGCTACACACCTGTATGTCTCAGTGGGGTTTGTTTCCAGGAAGTCAGTTTAGTTTTGTGCTAAAAAATATTTAATCACTACGCTATCTTTTAAATAAAAGAAGCGCATTTGTATGGAATGATGAAACTTTTTGTATTTATTCAATAGTCTATAGTTTGTAAAATAGATTAAAATATTTATTTACAGATGTTGCATAATTCCTTTTTGGAAGAATAACAATATTTGACTTTAGAGAAAAGTAATTTACTGTTTTTATGAGAACTGTATAATTCTCTCTAAGTTGATGTGTGGTGCACTGACCATCTCCATCCCGTACGTGATGAGGTGTCCTGTCCTGGTATGGGAGGTAAGGAGACAATTTATAGCTGGCCTGCAAAGCTTATGTGCTCAAAGAGACAGCTCTAGGGCTTTCGTGCCTTGGCAAGGTGGAGATGTGACTGAGTGCGTGATTAGCGCTCATTTACATGTAGAGTTGTGTTTGACAAGCTGAGTGTATTGGTGCACAAGGAAAGTGAATGCTTGAGACAAGTCGCTTCTCTTCTCCATGTAGTCCTTGTTTGCCCCAACTTTTAGTTTTGCTTGCCCTTTTAAACTTCAGTCTTTTCATCAATGTTCATTATAAAAAGATTATTTAATAATGAAGTCTGGTTTAGTGTTCATGCTTGATCCAAAATAGGCGTGTTAATTCATGTAGAAGGAACCAATTTTTTTTAAATCCTTTGTATAAATGTTACTTGATCAGTGATGTGCACTAATTTGTTGTGGGCTTTTGTCTGTCCCATCTCGTTTGCTATTGACACATTCCATGGATATTCATCAGTGTCACAGCAGCTTGAAATTGTTGCCTCACTCTTACTGTTAAACAGATTTTGTTGGAGAAAAAAAATGTACAAAAAGATGTAAGTTATTTTTTGGTTGCAGTGTAGATCTGTTAAAATGTTTAAAAATCATGTTTGTATTTTCAAATAAAGATTTTCATACATGATTTTAACAGTTCTAATTATTATGTTTATATACTGCCTGCAGTTAACTACTTCCTATTAAAGAACCATTTAAGATGATGAGTTATGCATGTACACAGTCTGGTTGGATAATTACACAAAGCTGAATATTCCAAGCAAGCTCTAGCAGGTTTTTCCTCATCTAAAAGCCAGTGTTGCTGAACAGCTGGAACTGGCTCAGAAAAATCTGTTCTGCTCAACTCCTTGTGCAGAGTTACGAACCTGTGTATCTTAAGTAAGGAAACATTTGTTTAGTGAACCTTACCAAGGAAAACTCAAGTCATGTTTAATACCATTCAAAGGATTTTTAAAAATAAAGTCAGCGTTTATTTATTCACATTTAATTTTGAGTTTCCATTAATGTCAAGCTTATCTAGCATTGGCCAGATACCTTTCACTATTTGCCCATGGTTTGGGGTTTTTGAACAGTAAAGATACACAGAGGCTTTGTGTTAAGCTCTGTTCCCAAAGGTGCTGTGGGAAAGGATGACCAGCTGCCTTTCTAGAAGATGATCCTGAACTTCTGGTGCTGTTCAAGGGGTGCTGACTTAAACCCTTCTTAAAAAGGGGCTTGTAAATGGCCATGTACAGCTGCAGGTTTCTTACCATGCAGTGACGTTTTTCCATGAAGCACCTGGAGCTGGGTGTGGGGCAGGCCTCTCCTGCAGCTGTTGTTGCTGCTTTGTGTTTGGTGAAGAGCCTGTTAAATCCTGTTCCCTATTGTGCTTTGGATAACCAAGCTCCTTTTTTTTTTTTTTTTTCCTGGAGGATTTGCACAGCTCCAGTACAGCAAATTATGGTGTTGCTGTGGAAGTGACTTTTCTTGCAATACATGAACTGGAAAGATGACTGTACCTTCCCCTAGAAAGGTAATTCCCAGCCCAGGTCCTTTGTTACAAGAATTAAAGCATCTGCAGGTTTGATGTGGTCTGAGGTCTCAGTGTTTTCTTAGTCCAAGTCTAGCTGTAGACTTGGTCTATTCTGACTACCTGGTAAGTGTTTAGGCCTAGATCCGTAAATCTAGATGAGGGGAAACATCACTATCACAGTTGAGAGCTGGGAGGGAGTCACAGGGGAACTTAGAACAAGCTGATCTGGGTGAGAATCAGCATTATCTAGTGGACTGCTCCCTCTGTCCTTGTGTGAGCCTAGTGCAAAATGAAACATAATGGGTTTACTGCTGCCCTTCAGGATACCCAATACCTGGGAGATACTCATGCTTCTAGTCATGGGAGCTCACCTCGAACTCCATTAGAGGGCAAACTACAAGGCCAGTAGCACTGCTGCTCTTCTTTCTCCAGACTTAGTATGGGAATATCACTTGCACTTTCAGTACTAATAGATAGCAAGGGTTATGTAGTTTATTTTACACAGTTACAATCCAAAATATATGTATGTATAAAATAAAGCTGATGATAGGATTAATGCAGTATACAATTCCACAGAGCAGTGACAAAGGGTCAGCAAAAGCAGCCAGCACTCCCCAGTCTACTGCCTCCAAAACAGCCTTGAGTGAAGATCATTTGCAAATTCTTAATGGAAAACTACTTTTGAAGGGCCATGGTAATGGTCTATTTACATTGCCTTTTCAAGCTTTATATTTTCCAAGTAAATACCACATGATCACTGTGTATGAAGGATTTCTTCCAGAGGAAAATACTCAGTCAACTGGTCCACTGTTTCTTTGTTACTTAGAAGCCTTGATCCAAGTCTCCTGGGAACATGTCATGATCCCCACAGACAACTAACCACTGGAATTTAGAAATACTTTGAGACTATTTGATCCAAGTTTTCAATTTTACAGACCAGAAAGGGCACTGCTAAGTCACCTGCCATCACCCAGCAGGTCACAGCCTTCACAGCTGGGCTGGGGTCAGGTACAAGGAAACAAGTAGATATCCATCTTGATCAACTCAAATGGTAAAGAGCGGATCCAGCAGTGTGCTACCCCCAAGCTTCTCTTGCTTCTTTCATCTAGTTTACAGAGCCTTTGACTCAGTATTTGTCAATACCCTGATTCCAGTCCTTAGGTTGGGAATTGTTCCAAAGGATACAGTTGAGTAATGCTCATAACTCCCACAACCTTAGAAGCGCAACAGCCAGATCAGTAACACCACGAACAGCGATGTGGAAAAATCAACCACAGTGCTAGTACCTAGCTGGTTCTGGGTGGATGCCTACAGGCAGAGATTTGACTTCGTCCGTATCTCCTGCTGCCTTGGTTGATGCCATCACAACCCTATTTCCAGTTAAACGGCTTGCAGAAAAAAATTGGTACCATGTTCTTTGCTCCCATTTATCCTCTCAGCTTCTTAACTTTCCTATAACAGAAGAAAAAAAAAGGATTGTTGGTCTCATATTATCAAGAAAACATACAAGAGCACATAAGGGATCAGAATAAAAGCATAGCCTCTGCCCATTTAGCAGCGTGGCCATAGCTGGCTCTTGGAAAGCGCTATATTTAGCTTCCACAAATGGAAAGAAGCATTTCTATACCACAAGGAGCCCGGAAAAGGCACTATAGGGAAAGGCCACATGCTGGATAAGTAGTGCACTTTCTGTATGTCTTCCATCTTGGTCTACAGATTTAAATTCTTTTATTATCTACCTTCAATAGCAGCTGCTCCAAGCATATAGTACAAACAAATAGTCTACATTTTAAAAGGCATACAACTGGAAGAAAAGGTAGAAGTCTCTTTTTCCTTCTAGTCCTCTTAAAAAAAAAAAGAAACCAAACAAACAAAACCCACCACTCAAATATGAAAAGAAACCATTTGTTCAACTTTACAGGAAAAAACACATTTAAAAAGTCAAAAATCAGACAAGGTCTTTGAATGTGGCTCTTAAATACCAGATAACCAGAGGCACTGGAAATCAAGGGGATGCCTGAATCACTGCAAAAACACTGTCTGCCAAACACTGGGTTTACATTCTATTAAAGATTCAGAGAGCAGGAGGGAATACGGGAGAAAAACCTGAAGGAACAGCTCAGCCCCTTGCAATGGCTGACACAGCAAGTCCTTAGAGGACGGGAGCAATATCATAGGCTGCGGCACAGGAACCCTCATGGCCTGGGGTTTTTTTGGTTTTTTTTTTTTTTTTTCCTTCCAGTACAGTCACTGCTGCAAGACCCATGATATCCTTGCACCCCTGTCCCAAAGGGCTGAAAGTTTTTCCCTGCTACAAGTTTCCATTCCAGGGCTGAGCTGAGGCCCAGGCAGACAGCTGCAGTTTTGCCAAACTATAATCTGATCCCAAAGGCAATTGCTACCCACAAGAAAAGCCCCAGGCTATGCTGGCTGCCACTCTAAGCCCACAAGGTTTACACGCCTCCCTTCAAATCCCCAGCTGGTTTGGGGACAACAAATCTCCCCACCAGCCTTGACTGGAAAAAGGGTAAGAAACAAGGGTCACTCTAGTGAGAGCCCCAGGTTGACCAGTGACCAGACACATTTCAAGCCTTTTGCTCTAAAGAGCACAATGCAAACACCACTTCTGAAGTGGACGTTCCCTGCAGGCCGTGCAGCAGTGCCATCTCTGCAATGCGCCAGTAACGGGGAGCACCTGCTGCAAGTGCTTCTTAATCAACAAGCTGCACAGTATAGGGAAAAAGGAAACTGGATCCACCTCAGCACGCACCCTAGCTGGTGATGGCTAGATCCTACAATAAGAATTGCCTTAAAAATGCAGATCAAGTTGAAGGAGGAGACTGCAGCTGGAAAGCGAAGAGCATAGAACCTCTTTTCTCAGCCTGAAAGGGGTCACAAAAGAGCAGCCCCTTTGCTGCTAGATGGGTACTTGTGAGATTCTGAACTCAGACTCATCCACTTCAACTACAGCTGTCCTCAGAGCTAGAAGACCTGAGCCAGAATTACCTGGTCGGCACCAACCACATCGACATCAACATCTTCCATTGTGTCTTCTGCTTGACCCTCCTCTGAGACATCTTCTGTCTTAATCTCATCTTTGCTGGAAAAAAAAAGCTAAGTCTTGAAAAACTTTATAATAGAGATTGCACAGGTGTGCTAAAGGCAGAGTAGTTCACATAGTAAGATCTGCTGCTGAGATATCCACGTAAGGCAGCCCAAAGTTTCTGGCCCAGTATTTCCCAGGTATGGAAGAGGTTATGCTCTGAGGAATTTCCCATAAAGCAGTTTAGAAACAAACCCTTCATCTAAACAGGGGCTGGATCTGTAATCACTTACATGTTTAATAAATTTTTGTTCTGTTTTACTTGTATTCACCAGGTCCATTCAACAAGTGTCCCAAAACCTGGAAAAGCATGTCTTTTCTGGGATCTGTGTTTCATCTTTTAACTTACCAGTATGGGAAATGGCACCTAACACCTCAATAAATGAAGTGTATTAAAGGAAAATATCCCAACTGAACACTTTGAGTGCTTTACAGAGCTCAAAAGTAGACTCTGAACTCCGTGTTTCATAGAATCACAGACTGGTTTGACTTGGAAGGGACCTCAAAGATCATCTAGTTCCAACCCCCCTGCCACAGGCAGGGACACCCTCCACTAGACCAGGTTGCCCAAAGCCCCATCCCACCTGGCCTCAAACACTTCCAGGGATGGGGCATCCACAGCTTCTCTGGGCAACCTGTTCCAGTGCCTCACCACCCTCACAGTAAAGAATTTCTTCCTTGTATCTAATCTTAATCTACCTTCTTACAGTTTAAACCCATTACCCCTTGTCCTATCACTGCACTCCCTGATAAACAGTCCCTCTACATCTTTCCTATATTTCTGCAATACCTCTCTTCCATCCAAGTTCTGTGGGGTTTCACTCAGGTATGTGTAACACAGTAGTTAATAGCAGGTCTGCAGAGACAAGAATCCTCTTTCATTTCCAGAGCTGCAGAAAACGCTCATCGTCAGGCTGCAGCAAAGAGCCAGGGAGTAACCGACACCAGAGCCCTCTAATAAGGACCAGAGACAAGAGAAGTGGGACAGGGAACCCTCCTCCTTCCTCACCTTTTTCTCTGCACACTCAGTATTAGTTCAAGAAGGCAGGGAAGCCCTGCAGCAGTGGGGAACAATCAGGCTAAAGCAGCAAATGTAGATATTGGACTGAGAAAAACAAAACCACAACCTGTCCTTGGGACACAGCCTGTAAGAAAGAGAGGAGGGGCACACACCCTGTGCCATTTGCCCATGGAATTATTACAAAAAACAGAACCAGAGGTGGATAGAGAGACCCCAACCGTCAATACCAGGACAAGTGAAGGAGCTTGTAAGACATACAACTCTCACCAGTATCTTCTCCGGAGCCCTCCTGGACAAAGGAATGGCAAATGTTCCTGCAAGTGCGTCTCTCGAGATTTTAGCCTCTTTCTGCTTTTCCCTGCTGCAGAGGCAAGCTGGGAAGCACGCTGCAGGTCTGGAGCTTTGCTTCCTGCTTCAGTCTGGCTGGTTTCAGGCAAAGACCCTGTAACAGACAGCGAACAGACTTGTTCTCCAGCCTCTCTCAAAGGTCTTGAGATGGACATTTCCAACATGTTCCCCACAGCACTGAAGCAATGGGACCAAGCTCAAAGAGAGATTTGGAGCAAAGCATTCATTTATTGAAGGAACCAGCTAAAAGCCACATAAAAGAAAATCAATTTACTTTGCCCACTGGTCATTTTTGCAATCTAGATTTATGACCTTGGCCCTGGTCCACAAGTGCTATAGGTACTGCTGAGTCTGTATAACCCTCAAGAAAGGAGAGCCTTTGGGACACAAAGGAACAAGCTTTCTGAAGGCAGGTCACTGAAAACAAAATTTCTGAGAAAGCATGAGAGAGAAATTAAAGGATGCTCTGGAAAAATTCCCTTTCCTCCACATACAGCTGCACATGTCTACAGCACTTAGCATTTTTACTAGCAATTGGTTTCATCATGGCTTTACTACATTTAACTAAGAAGTCCCACAGTGAATACCTCATTACAGATTGCAAGTCCATGAGAGATGCTAAAGCCTGTATTCAGCCCACCTAACTATAACTCTTTAAGTTAGGAGTATAATCCTACAAGCTTCCTAGAAATTCAACAGAGAGAAAGACCCCAGAAGATGATTTGGCCCAGATCATCAGGCTGAAGATCCGAATCGCCTTCTGGAAATACCTCTCCTGTCTCAATTATCTACAAGGCCTAAAGCAACAATGCCCTTAACTTAAAAATTGAAAGCAATGAACCAAGTCTCAATGGTACAGACAGATGCCAGAGCTCCATACAGAGCAGAATTCAAGATATTACCTAAATTTGGCTCACACAAAGTCTCCAGATCAACCTTCCTGCTATTGAGTGATGAAGAGGCCTTTAACAACAACAAAGCTGAAGTCAAAAGCTGCGGTTCAAACTGGAAAGTCAACAACATCCAACAGACTGTGGTACTGCTAATGCAAAGCATGAAGTGCATTTTTGCTGGGACACAGCAAATACAGCTGATCCAGAACGGGGAAGTTTTCATACCATTAGACAATTTCCTTTTAAAAGAAGACGTCTTAGACGTGCCCACGGGGGACCACTCTCCTGAACTGCCGAGGACAGAGCTCTCCTCATCTTCATTTGCCAGTAAAGAATTTCTGTACCAAATCAACGGCTGCCATTCATCTCCTCTGCAAGGCAGTGGTTCTGCTATATACCTCTGTAAATAAGCATACCTGGAGAAAACCAAAAGCAAGCATAAGAAAACTCAGTATCTTTCCCCTTAACATCTAGGGAAGCTCTTGCCAAAAAGGCATTTTCCCCAAAGGTGCAGACAGAACTGCTGAAGAAAAAGAAAGGGCATCCCTTTTCTCAGAAATATCTGGCATCTCTGAAATATCTGAATATTTAAAATGTACATGTTTTCAAAGCCAAAAAAGTGCTTGAATTTTAGCATTAGAAACAACACTTGATTCACACGAATCACAGAATTACATCAGTCTCTAGAAAGAATTTCCTGTGCAGGAAAGGTCACTGCCAATTGCTGCTGCCAGGAGCAGTGTGAACGGAGCAGAACTCTGCGAGGATGCACCCCTTCTCCTGGTGGTCTTTTTCTGCCTCACTGACTGCAATGCAAAGGAGATCCCAGGCTAGAGATGCTTCTTGTGATTCAATAGCACAGCAGGTCAGGAAACGGGGCATTTATGCCATGAATGCCTGTTTTGTCAAAATTAAAAAAAAAAAAAAAAAAAGAACAACAACCAATAAAACCACTTTTCTACAATAGCATCTCAAGCTCAATCCAATTCTCTCAGGTCCCCAGTAAAATTTCAAGTGTCTGCAAGAAGCAGCTAACAGCTCTGCAATTATGACAACACACAGGACGTGGGAAACATTGGTTCAAATCCCTGTTCCGCCTGATTCAATCCACACACTTGACACGGGACGTCCCTGAATCCCAGCTGAAGCTATCGCCTTTTCTGGAGCAAAGAGGTCTCCTTCAAACATTCTTTTTGAAAAACAAGACATTTCTGACAAAGTCTTTCTGACCCATTCCTACTTTACAACAATAAGAAAAGAAAACCAAAGTCTGACTCAGGGTTAAAAACTGGATATTCACTACATTTCAGCTACAGCTCATCACTTTAAAATCAAGCCCAGTGTTGTTAAAACAGACCCCACCTTAGCAAATACCAGAAGTGACAGTTTTAACACCAGCCTGTACAGTATATTATTCCTTCTTTCATTAGGAGTGTGGCCTGGAAAATATCAAGCATTTAATTCGCTTTGCAAAACAAGAAAAGTGGTGCTGGGAGGAGGTTAGGGTAAGCACCAACTCTGAAACAATTAGAGTCACGGACCCTGGGGGCCCCAGGGATCAAGAAACCCTGGTAATGGAATTTGTTGGTTTCGAACAAGCGTGTATTGTAACTACTGTTTTAGGGTCTAATCCAACTGCTATCAATGTCAATGGAAAGACTCCTACTGATTCAGGAATCAGGCCCTTCATGCTGCTTGCTATTCAGTAATTCATTTCTCACATGCATTTTGTGGCACAGAGCAATTGACAAGTCAGATATTTTACTGCTACACCCTGGGCAATTACAGGGGAGGAGGTTAAAATCCATTTACTTTGATGGTGTTGAAATATACTCCTTTCTAACAAATGCCCATATTCTGTATCTCATCTGTTACAGGTACATTCACATATGTTAACATACAGACCTGGACATCAATCCTATGATTAATAACAAAAATGAAAATAACCAGATGTTTATTTCTAAAAGTTCATGTTGACCTAAAACATTCCATCCAGTAATTTATGATGAAGCTAAACCTAAATATTTCTAAGAGGAAATATAATCTCCAGCCCCTGCAAGGCATTTTAGGCCTCCCAGAATAGAAACTGTTACTCTAGAAACATAGTCTGAATGTAGTTGTGGATAAAATTGCAATTTCCCCCCTTGTGAATTTTATTGTTTCCCATTTGTTCCCAGCAGCAGTGGAAAAGTCCAAAGCACTAAGAACTGAAGGCAAAGAGCATTCCCTGCTAGGTTACGTATTTCCCACAAAAGTTTTCAGTGAATAAACCTACCTGAATGTATCTAATACATTCAGAAATATACTTCTGGAATATATCCAGTGGTCAAGAAGTTAAATATAGCCCTACGAAAAAAATCATCAGGATTTAGCTTTAAATCTACCCACATTAAAGATGAAATATTTTCCTCTTGTTTAATTAAAAGTTACTCATTGGAGGTAAATGAAATGGCAGAGTTTTTCAGCGATGGATTACCAGAAATCCACTCATTGCACAAGCGTCACCATACAGATAATAATAGCTCTTTAAAATCCACATAACATGGACAGAATTGTACAGAAAGTGTTCAAAACCAACTCTAGTCATAGATCTCAAAGATCCTCTCCAAGAAAAATGCAAGAACAGAAAGGAAAGTTATCACTACCCATAGATTACCCACTTTAGATTTACCAGGGTTTGTAATCAGTATATGTTGAATATTTTTCTTCTGTATTTTGCATTTTGGGTTTGAATCCATTTGTTTAAATATTTTGTCTGGGTAGCTGGCAATCATTAATAAATTGTATTTGTCATGTAAAGTAACGGGAAAGTAGACATTTTACCACTCTTGACCCTTGTTATATAGAAACTTGTTGACAATCCCCATAGAAGTTAACCTCCAATTTAAGACAAAGTGACACAGGAGCAAACAAGTTACACAGAGCTTAGCAAGATGTAGTTGTTGGGTTTGGGTTTTTTCCCATTTCTGCTGACTTCTTCTCCAAAGTGTAACTTTTCCTGTCAGGTACTGGAGTGATTTGCTCAGAAATTCAAACAGGCAGATGTGTCTTAATGTTTCATCTTACATTCCCGTGTCTTCATATATGCTCTCAGGAAAATGAAAACAGCTGTTATATATTTTGCAATATTTTTTACAGTATCTGTAAATAGAAGGCTGAAGTACAGAGATCCAGATCCAAAATAAGCAGCAAATAGAAGGAAGGTCAAATAGAAGGAAGAACATTACTTCCCTTCCAAAAATGACTGGAGTTGAGGCAGGTGAAGGCGGCAGTAAGAGACATAATCATATGTCTCTCTGTTCAGACGCATAATGCCCCATAATGCTGAAATAAGGCTGTCATTCCTATATTATTAAATGTAAATATTTAAGCTACTCTAAAACACAGCTGGCCCAGCTGGATCGGGGCATATTCCCCTGTAAATAGTAAATTTTTGAATTTAAATATCCCAATTACGAATAGTGTCGTGTATATTTCTATTCCAAATATATTCCATGGAACTCAAGTAATTCAGTCCTGAAGCTATGGAATTAGATCATTACAAAATAATGATCTGGGCATTACCTCTTCCTCAATCTTTTCTGCTTTGCTTTTCTCTTCAGAAAAGCACTCCTGGCATTCCACTAGCCAGTCAAGTTGCAAATCTTTTCCACCAAGTTAACATTGTCTTTCCCTTAGAAGAATTGCCACACGTGGCCACAACTATGTCTAAAAAATATGAAATAACTACTACTACAAAATTCTACAAGTGTCTTTCAAACAGCCTCAGGGGCAGATTGATTTCAAAAGATCTCAGTAAAGCCCTTGAGCAACTTCTGCAACACTGAAGTGTCCCGTGTACAAGGACACACAAAACACAAACTGTGTATGACTGCACAAGAACTTAACTTACACTAGTCTTTTGTCAGGCTTTAGCAGCTTGTTGGAAAATTCACTGATGATTGACAGAAAGCTCAAGTTAGGAGGCAGGCATTTTCCATCTACTCCAGTAGCTCCCTGAAAAGCAAATTCAATCCCTTCCCTATTGGAAGAAAAATAGAGAGAGAGCAGAGTAATAAAACAGACAACTAACAAAAGCAATGACCATGGACAGGGTGATGTTATGTGGCACATACTTGTGTATCATAGCTACAGATTCTCTAGATTTCACTTGGTCCCAGCCAAACGTCAGTGAAAAGCGACGAGCAAGTTCTTTCATATTTGTGAAGGAAGCAGAGGAGAAGTCCACACCGCTACTGCTGTCTTGGCTTTCTGCATGTGTCCGAAACAGCTGCAAAAGAAGTCTCAGATAAGCAACCAGATGTAATCCTACAGGCGAACAAAGCACCAGGAGGACACAGAGCCATGCACAGCAAGCAACAGTGAGCTTACACAGACAGAAGCCTTACAAAAGAGCAGGTAAGCCGTGTGCTTCAGAAGCACACGACTGGAACAACGATAAGGAACTGACACAACAATGACATTGTTGTGCTTAAGTGACAAGCACAAATTAAAAATAAGTAAAAAATGATGCGCGTACACAGAGAACTGATTCTTGAAGATGTTGCCTCCACTAATCCCATCTCCTGTTGGGATTTCTGAATCAAGCTCAAGAGGCCTAATTTGCCTGAGAGGCGTTCAGACTATCAGAATGCAGATATAAAGCAGCAAGTTTGGCAGCAGCATAGTCCAATTTCTGAGAGTGAGACTGGGCCAAAAGCAAATTAACTATGATTTGGGGTTTTTTTTCCCTAACAGAACCTGGAGGTAGCTTGTTCCCTTCAACCTGTTAACTTTCAAGGTCAAGCAAAGGCCACAAAGGGCCTGTTGTCTATGTGATACCTAAACATGAAGTCCTGACCATGTCAGCAGAATATATGTAGCCAAATGCTGCTTAGTCTCATCTAAGCTCAGATTTCAGGGGCTAGTTCACAGATCTAAGCCCCTGGCAATGTGTGTGAAATAAGCAAAGCTCACGTATCAGTACCCCTGGGGAGGAGCCAGCCCTGTGGCTTACGGCACGACTCCAAGCTAGAAGCTGCTCTGGTCATGGGCAGCGCCGGCAAAGCAGCTGCAAGCCCCAGCAACTGAGACCCTTCAGGAGAGCTGCGACCCACTTTCTTCCAGAAGAAAATACTGAAAATACTGGGGATTAGAGCTGGCCAGCCACAGAGACATTTGTGGTTCCTCGACTTCAAGACAGAATAAGGTCCTTAATGTTTGTTAAGGTTGAGACAGCTACCATGTCCCAAGAAACACTCTGTAATCTCTCATCAATCCTAACACAATATGAATTTGAAGATTAAAAACAAGACAAAAAATCGTGCACAAAATTGCATTTTAAAACAGATGTAATGATTGAAAGGAGTTTTAATTATGACATGCAAAACCAACATACACATAGAAAGTACAGGCAAGGAAACGATTTCTCCCACTTGTTTTTTTTTTAATGAATTTGAATAATTACAGCAAGCTAGGTAAAAAACTCCAATATGAATACAGCTGTCAGAAGAGCTCTTAGCCTCTTGCTTTAATCTTAACCTTACCTGCTGCAGACAAAGAATCAGTGTCTTGGCACTCTGAATTTTGTTATTGTGCCTCGTCTTGCTTAACGTTTCTTTAATTATGTCTCCAAAATCATTGTAGCTCTATTAACAGCAACAAATGAGAATTATTATGCCCCTTCTTTAGCACTAAGAGTACATAAAACACACAACCATGTTCATGTGACACAAGTTCATAAAACACTTCCAATATCAGAACACCCAAGCTAAAAGATGAAAACTGGACTTTTTATATTATATTTCATATGTAAAGCAATGGTATGCTCCTTTAAGAGTAATGTGAGGATTAAAGTTACACCTGAAATTGTTAAGTATTTATTATAACGAAAGAACAAAGCCTCCTCAGGAGAGAAATAGAGAGTCTTCTGTATTTAAGCAGCACTTGCCTTGGGCCCAATGAAGTAAAGAACGAGATTAGGCTATTTCCAAAGTCCTGTTGACTCAAGGAAACTGCCCCCTCTGTGCGGTTCTCAGCCCTCCCAAAACCCACTTCAGAGTGGCTGAAGCTCGACTAGTTGTCTAAACACTGGGACTTGCATGAAATCTAGGCCATCTGCATATGGACTGTGTGAGCTGTATGAAGTTGACTGCTTCAGTGTGAGAATCTCTACAGTTAAAACACTCTCCCAGCCATAAACTGCTTCTCTGCAATGCCCTCTCTGGAGAAGCTGAGGAGCAGATGCTCAGGCAGACATACCCTCAACTCAATTTTCAGTTACTTTGTCTGCAGTGAGGTACCTTTGCAGAGGAAAGAGGAGAGATTTGTCCCATTCTTGCTTGATTTTACAGCCCTTTTGTGGTTGTACAAGGATTCTGAGCCGTAAGACTATTCACCCCACATCTTTCACAAACACTGCAGTCACTTTCAAAAACTAAAATGCACTGATAGGAAAGCAACCTTATCTACAACATTACCTTCACATAATACTTATAGATCTCAGCAGCCGCAGTCATCTCTACCACATTATACACTATTAACTTGCAATATGCTGCAAGAAGACTCCGCTTTTTGTGCAAGTCGTCAAGTTTGCAACTTTCATCCTTTCTCTCCTCCTCTTCTGTCAGGTCTACGGAAACAAAAGCATTGAAGCTTTGTTCTACTACTTTATTCAAGATCTCTCAATTTTAATGACCAACTTTCATTCAAATAGCACAGACTCAGCTGTTCAGTCAACAAGCTAAGTAACAGATGCTAGTGCTCATTCCTGTGTATATCAGAAAACACAGGTTTATTTCCATTTCAAAGCTTGTAGCTGATGACAGTGAAAACGAGTTACTTCCAGTTTTCTACTCTGATCTTCATATGGCTTTCACATTTCTACTAGTCAGAATTTCCTTGTACAACACTGCTCACAGCTACAGCACCAAACCAAACAGAGCGCAGAATAAAAGGCATAACACACCAAATAGAAGAGACCAGACAAATTGTAACCACGTTTTTTTTCCTAGAATGACACAGATGCTAGAAAACCAACACATAACTCATCAGAAACCCCACAAAAGTTGCCACACACAGTCAACAAAAGAAGAGTTCAGATGAAACTCTCCAAGTGGAATCAACAAAAGTAAAAGAAAAAAGTCATTTCATATCATTAAGAACACATTAAGCCTCTGGAACATGGGTTAATTACTAGCTGGATAACTTGTGGAAAACAAATACTCCTAAGAGTCTTTCAACACAGCTACAACAGTGCTTGGGGAGGGCTTCTTGCAGGAGGAGAGCTGAGATACACTCTT